GGACTCTGTACTTGGTTTGGGCCCCTTTTGCAGCAATTACTGCCTCAATGCTGTGTGGCATGGAAGCTATTAGCCTGTGGCACTGCTGAGGTGTTATGGAAGACCAGGATGCTTCAATAGCAGCCTTTAGCTCTTCTGCATTGTTCAGTCTCATGTCTCTCATCTTTCTCTTGGCAATGCCCCATAGATTCTCTATGGGGTTCAGGTCAGTCGAGTTTGCTGGCCAATCAAGCACAGTAATCCCACGGTCATTGAACCAGGCTTTGGTGCTTTTGGCAGTGTGGGCAGGTGCCAAGTCCTGCTAGAAAATGAAGTCAACATCCCCATAAACCTCGTCTGTAGAAGGAAGCATGAAGTGCTCCTGGTAGACGGCTGCATTGACCCTGGACTTAATGAAGCACAGTGGACCAACACCAACAGATTACATGGCTCCCCAAATCAACACAGACTGTGGAAACTTCACACTGGACTTCAAGCATCTTGCAGTGTGTACCTCTCCATTCTTCCTCCAGACTATGGGTCCTTGGTTTCCAAATGAGATGCAAAAGTTACTCTGATCAGAAAAGATGACTTTGGACCACTGAGCAACAGACCAGGTCTGTTTTTCTTTAGCCCAGGTAAGACGCTTCTGACGTTGTTTGTTGTTCAGGAGCGGCTTGACAAGAGGAATGCGACATCTGAAGCCCATGTCCAGGATCCGTCTGTGTGTGGTGGCTCTTGATGCACTGACTCCAGCCTCAGTCCACTCCTTGTGAAAGTCCCCAACACATTTGAATGGCCTTTTCTTTACAATCCTCTCCAGGCTGCGGTCACCCCTGCTGCTTATACACCTTTTTCTTCCACACTTTTCCCCTCCACATAACTTTCTATTAATGTGATTTGATACAGCACTTTGGGAACATCTAACTTCCTTCGCAATTACCTTTTGAGGCTTTCCCTCCTTATGGATGGTGTCAATGATGGTTTTCTGGACAACTGTCAGGTCAGCAGTCTTTCCCATGATTGTGATTCCTTTTGAACCAGACTGAGAGACCATTTAAAGGCTCAGAAACCATTACTGTCCCTAGGTGTTATGGCTTAGCTGATTAGAGTGGGACACTGTGAGCCTAGAATATTGCACCTTTTCACAATATTCTAATTTACTGAGATTGTGGATTTGGGGTTTTCATGAGCTGTAAGCCATAATCATCGCACTTATGACAAATCACGGATTGAACTATCTTGCTTTGCATGTAATGCGTCTATCTCAAATATTAGTTTTCCCTTTTACATTGCATTACTGAAATAAATTAACTTTTGCACAATATTCGAATTTTTCGAGTATCACCTGTATATTAAGGAAGAACCCATGGCATTAGATGTGCAAATGATTGCTGCTAAAATCTTGCAGAAAAATTGTTATTGGTTAACTCAAGACAAGGTGTTGCAGCAACTAAAGAAAGTTAATGTAAACAAAGCTCCAGGGTCTGACGGTATTTATCCACGAATACTTAAGGAACTAACTGTAGAAATAAGTGAACCTCTGTTTTTAATCTTTCAAGATTCTTTTCTTTCAGGAAGTGTTCCGGAGGAAGGCGGATGTGGTTCCTATATTTAAAAAGGGTTCAAAATCCTTGCCTGGAAATTATATACCTGTGAGCTTAACTTCTGTGGCTGGAAAAGTATTTGAAAGGTTATTAAGGGATAACATTCAAGAATTCCTTGAGAAGAACATGGTTATCAGCAAAAATCAGCATGGTTTTACGAAGCACAGGTCATGTTTAAAGAACTTGATTGCATTCTACGAAGAAGTGGGGGCACCCTCAGGGCACTATAGTGTCAGGAAAACCGCTTTGTTTTCCTGACACTATAGTGATCCTTTATTGGTAAATTTTCAAGCTGGACAGAGGTGGCAAGTGGTGTCCCCCAGGGTTCTGGGACCCCTTCTATTTAACATATTTGTAAAAGATCTTGAAAAAAGCATTGAAAATCATGTTTCAGTGTTTGCAGATGACACAAAACTCTGTAAAGTAATACAATGTGAGCAAGATATTACCTTGCTGCAGAGGGATTTAGATAAACTGGGGGCTGGGCACTCAAATGGCAGATGAAATTTAATGTTGAAAAATGCAAAGTTATGCACTTCGGCGTAAAGAATGCACAAGCAACGTATATACCCTTAATGGAAGCAAATTAGGGATAACAACACACGAGGGCCTTGGGAAGTGTTATAGACAATAAACTATGCAACAATGTGCAATGTTAATCAGCATTTGCTAAGGTCAGTAAGGTATTGTCATGCATGAAAAATGGCATTCATTCTGGGGATGAGAATATAATTTTGCCTCTTTATAAATCACTGGTAAGACCACATATTGAATATGCTGTGCAATTTTGGGCACCTGTTCTAAAGACGGATATTATGGCACTAGAAAAAGTGCAGAGGCGGACTACAAACTTAATAAAAGGAATGGAACATAACAAATTTAAACCTCTTTAGTTTAGAAAAATGTCGCCTGAGAGGGGATATGATAACATTATACAAATATATTCGGGGACAATATAAACCATTATGTGGAAATTTATTCACAAACCGGACTTTACATTGGACACGAGGTCATGCGTTTAGACTGGAAGAAAGTAGATTTCGTCTAAGGCAAAGAAAAGTTTTTTTTACTGTAATAACAATAAGGATGTGGAATTCTCTTCCTGAAGAAGTGGTTTATTCAGAGTCCATACAGATGTTCAAACAGCAACTAGATGCATACTTGTAAAAAGGAATGAAAAGACAGATCCCCATAATCACAAAAATATGTGAATTGGCAAGAACTGTCTTAAAAAGAGCCTACCTCAGAGCTACAATATAGGGGGTAACCCAGAAAAAAATAGAGTTGAATGACGGAGACCCTTGAAACAAGGGAATCCCAGAAGTAGCTGCTGAACTTAACAGAATAAATAGTATAGTTACCAGGTGGCAAGTAGAGAAGAACAGGGGGCTGTACTTGTAAGTGGATAAAAGGGTGAAGGGGAATAAATAGAAATACCCATATATACCCTATATAAGCCACTGCTAGTTGTATTTAATAGCAGCAAAGGAATGTCCCTTAAAAAAAAAAAAAAAGAGAGAGAGAGAGACTCTAGCATTTATACTAGAAAAAATGTCCAAAATTAGGACACCTAAGCTGCAAAAATACAATAAGGCAACACAAAATATGTGTAATACATAAATCACCCCACTAATATAAAGGCAGGCAAACAGGAGCCTATACAATGAATAGGAGAAAAGAGAGCGAAAGGAGGACAGGGGCAGACCCACTAAGGACAAGCCCTAAGTCTAGAGAGGACCCCCCCAGGACCAAAAAATGCCTGCCTAGAAAAAACTCTAAATGCCAAATAATAAATTGCTAACTATACTAACTAACTAAATCAAACATACTAACTACCTAAGTGCTATCTAATGTGAGAGAAAAAAAATAAATCAAATAAGGCGCTCGACGCGCGTTTCAGCGTGCATACACGCCGTCGTCAGGAGCTATTGCAAATGAAGTTCCTATTGAAGCCGGTTAAATACCTGAGAAAAGTCCCTCCAGCTGATCCGGCGTGTGGGAGGAGTGGGTGATTGACATGGAGTCACCACTCCTCCTCAACCATGTCATCGCTTATGCTGGAGTCTCATTGGAGAATAACAAAGTCAATCACTGAGAGGTGGGGGAGGGACTTATGCATAATCAGAACACACCTATCCAAACCCTGCTGCTCACATGGGGATAACCATTGGAAGATCTATCAGTCAATCAATACAGGAGGAGGGTGCAAAATCAAGCATCCCTCCTCCTGATAACGAAACTAACATAATCCTAACTAGCCAATATATATGATATCAATGAGGAGTATCAAAATGTAGCACAGGGAAGGGGCTATATAATTAAGCCCCCCTCCCTCTAACAGCACCTCTGGCATGAAACTGGCTGACAGATCACACAGTCAGTCATTATGCCAAATATTGATATATAAAATGCCTCCAGATGCATAAAAACATTAAAGGCATATAATACAGCTCTTGTAACTTGGTGACCCCCCAAAAATTATACTAACAGTCAAAAAGAATTAAGTTGTAAAAAGTAATTAGTTAATTATCCTCTATATACCTGGACATATACAAGTAAATTTTCCTGGACATTAAAATATAGCACCCTGCTGTATAATGCTTCCACTGGGATTCATATTTATTAATAATGGCAATTAAGTATAAGTCTTAAGTTAGGTTTACACTGCAGAGGGTTATATATTCTTTATACTTTACAAATAATGAAACAGCGTTTCAAATCAGGATTGACTGTGAATATTGGTTAATCTCAAAAGAAATTCACCACCGTTTAAGGCAGCAATGTAAAATAATGAGGTATGAAACCTATTAGGAACCATGTGACTAATGCAAAAGAGGAAGAGAAAAAGATAATTTTTTATTATTGACTTATTTACAAATTTACAGACAGCAAACGATTATTATAAGGTAGATCAGATGGTTGTATAGAAACTGTTGGTGGAAATACCTATCAGTCTATAAAAATGATGAGAATGAAAAACCTTCATTCAATCCCTGTGGTGACAGTGTTTTCAATTTATATATCCAGTAGGATTCTCTTTGTTTGAGACTACGATCCCAATCCCCTTTACGTTGTGTTTGGGTTATGAGTTCTATGCCCATAAAGCGTATCCTACTGGATGAATTTGCATGACAAGTCTTGAGGTGCCTTGAGATGGGAGTTTCCAGTTTACTTCTGACTGAGTTGACGTGTTCTCTAATGCGGAACTTAAAAGGTCGGAATGTTTTTCCGACATACTTCATGCCACAAGAACATGTCAAAAGGTAGATGACTCCCTCTGTACGGCAGTTGAAGAAAGACTGTACAGAATGAGAGTCAAGATTCAAACTGTCGAAAAAAATCTTTGTTTCTTTACCTGTGTACTGACAGGCACTACAGTGACCGCATCTCCTTAAAGTTCTTCCCTCTACGTGCCGTAACGGAAGGAAAAGGAGAGATGACTGATTTGATATGGACATCTGATGTCAGGATCGGCCAATATCTGCCGAGAATCTGCAGCATTGTGTGCCAACCTGCATCATGTGTCACAATACAACGAATCTGATGGCTAGAGGGTAAAATTTTGTCCTCAAGAAGATTCACTCTGTCTGAGTTTAATGCCCTTGAGTATGCCTTTTTAAGAACTCTGTTTGGGTACCCTTTATCCTTGAAAGATTTCCGCAAATTAGCAGCCTTTATCTTAAAATCTTCGAGGGTTGAGCAGTTTCTACGTAAACGCAGATATTGCCCAATCGGGATACCCGCTTTGGAGGGATAGGGATGATAACTATCCCAGTTTAGAAGGCTATTTGTAGCTGTTGCTTTACAGTACAATGTTGTGGAGATTCTACCGTCCTCTTGTAATGACAGAGTGATGTCTAGAAAGTTCAAATGTTTACCCCCAATTTCACTGGTGAAACATAAATTCAAGACGTTCACATTCAGCAGCCGTACAAATTCGTTGAAATAATTTTTTGTACCCAGCCACAAGATGAATACATCGTCGATGTAACGTTTCCAGCAATGTATTTTGGTCAAAAATTGAGACAAGCATTCGTCAGTTTGAAGGTTCTTTTCCCATGTACCCAAGTATAGGTTTGCGTATGAAGGGGCACAAGATGTGCCCATCGTTGTACCCATTATCTGATGGTAAATTGTACCATTAAAGAGAAAGATGTTTTTAGTGAGCACAAGAGTAAGGACTTTACAGGCAAAATCTATGTATTCCAGGGAGAAATTTGATTGTAGCTGTAGAGTTAGTCTTAAGTTCTCAATCCCCAAAGTATGTGGGATAGAGCTATAAAGAGACTCCACATCAAGGCTACAGAATAATGCCTCCACAGGTACAATGGTATTTTCCATAAGTTGCAACATTTGTTTTGTTTTAGACTCTGAAACAGAGGGTCTGTGTTGAATTTTTGGACCACTTCTATTTCAGTGTCTAATTCCTGCTATATCTTAGTAAGTTGTAAGTTCTCATATTTGCAAATAATCAACATAAATGTTATAGAGCATTTGGATGCTGCCTCTTCCCATTCCTTATTGAAGCCTTCAATTTCTATATTTCTAGAGGAAGGTACAAGGACTCTTAACCCCCTTGGAATGATTTGTTTCGCAATGTATGAATTTAAAGTAGATATTTCCCAGCTGGTCTTAATTTATTTTTTAAAAGTTCTAGTTAGTTTATTGAAGCTTGTATGTATATTGGGAGAGAAGGAGGATGGTAAGGAGGTACTCGTGGAGAAAACGACATCGGCGTCTGTGCACCATTGTTGAGCATCCACTTTATTGGACAAAAAACCTGCCATATTAATAGATCAGGGAAAAAGTAATATAGACTTGGTATAAAGGTGGTAGGCTGAATGGTGCAATAACACCTAAATAACAAAAATGTAAAAAGGAATGAAAAGACAGATCCCCATAATCACAAAAATATGTGAATTGGTGAGAACTGTCTTAAAAAGAGCCTACCTCAGAGCTACAATATAGGGGGTAACCCAGAAAAAAATATAGTTGAATGACGGAGACCCTTGAAACAAGGGGATCCCAGAAGTAGCTGCTGAACTTAACAGAATAAATAAGGCGCTCGACGCGCTCGACGCGCGTGTCAATCACCCACTCCTCCCACACGCCGGATCAGCTGGAGGGACTTTTCTCTGATTGCTCAGGTATTTAACCGGCTTCAATAGGAACTGCATTTGCAATAGCTCCTGACGACGGCGTGTATGCATGCTGAAACGCGTGTCGAGCGCCTTATTTGATTTATTTTTTTCTCTCACATTAGGTAGCACTTAGGTAGTTAGTATGTTTGATTTAGTTAGTTAGTATAGTTAGCAATTTATTATTTGGCATTTAGAGTTTTTTCTAGGCAGGCATTTTTTGGTCCTGGGGACTTAGGGCTTGTCCTTAGTGGGTCTGCCCCTGTCCTCCTTTCGCTCTCTTTTCTCCTATTCATTGTATAGGCTCCTGTTTGCCTGCCTTTATATTAGTGGGGTGATTTATGTATTACACATATTTTGTGTTGCCTTATTGTATTTTTGCAGCTTAGGTGTCCTAATTTTGGACATTTTTTCTAGTATAAATGCTAGAGTCTCTCTCTCTCTCTTTTTTTTTTTTTTTAAGGGACATTCCTTTGCTGCTATTAAATACAACTAGCAGTGGCTTATATAGGGTATATATGGGTATTTCTATTTATTCCCCTTCACCCTTTTATCCACTTACAAGTACAGCCCCCTGTTCTTCTCTACTTGCCACCTGGTAACTATACTATTTATTCTGTTAAGTTCAGCAGCTACTTCTGGGATCCCCCTTTTTCAAGGGTCTCCGTCATTCAACTCTATTTTTTTCTGGGTTACCCCCTTTATTGTAGCTCTGAGGTAGGCTCTTTTTAAGACAGTTCTCACCAATTCACATATTTTTGTGATTATGGGGATCTGTCTTTTCATTCCTTTTTACACTTTTGTTATTTAGGTGTTATTGCACCATTCAGCCTACTATATTACTTTTTCCCTGATCTATTAATATGGCAGGTTTTTTGTCCAATAAAGTGGATGCTCAACAATGGTGCACAGACGCCGATGTCATTTTCTCCACGAGTACCTCCTTACCATCCTCCTTCTCTCCCAATATACATACAAGCTTCTATAAAGTAACTAGAACTTTTAAAAAACAAATTAAGACCAGCTGGGAAATTTCTACTTTAAATACATACATTGCAAAACAAATCATTCCAAGGGGGTTAAGAGTCCTTGTACCTCCCTCTAGAAATATAGAAATTGAAGGCTTCAATAAGGAATGGGAAGAGGCAGCATCCAAAGCTCTATAACATTTATGTCGATTATTTGCAAATATGAAAACTTACAACTTACTAAGATACAGCAGGAATTAGACACTGAAATAGAAGTGGTCCAAAAATTCAACACAGACCCTCTGTTTCAGAGTCTTGAAGTTAAACTTAAAAACAACTTAGATAAGTTCTCACACCAAATTAAGACTAAAAAACATCAGAAATTTTTAAGAGACTCTACTGACTTTGAGACTGGCAAGGTATACCGCCATTTTAAAAAAAGAGTAAGGACTGACTCTGACCGCTTTAGTACTTCAGAGTATGAGTCTACTGATAACGAGGAACAAGACATTGTTGCCACATCCAGCCAAACCTCCCAACCTCTAACTCCGAAAAGTATACTTCGTAAAGGGGTGGATTTTTTAGGCTTGAGGCAGGCCGAGGAACGTAAAGGCCCAAGTACCAGGCAGTCTCAAAGGAGCAGGGGCCAACGGAGGTATCAAAATTAGGCCCAGGTCACTTGAAAGTTGTAAATATTTCTTCATTTACTTTATCAGAGACATAGAACTTAGTCTTGCAGAAAGGTTTGACGTTTGTACCCATTCCTCCATTTAATAAATTTATTTGGACCAAAGATTTACATCTTTTCACTCGTAAATTGGCTTTGTTTAAATACCATACTGCTAGGAAGGAACAGAAAGCACGAGACTTAGGATTGAATGTTAAAGATCTGGACTGTCTAGACACTCTAGTTGAATTACTACAATCTAATGAGGATGTAAAACCAAATAATGTGCCCTCAACGGATTTAAAACCTAAGAGTACATTTACACCTCATTTCAAGGATTATAAGAATGTGGAAGTTTTTCTGGAAATGGTCTGCAGGGATATTGATAAAATAAACCCTAATGATCTGGACTTTAAGTCTAGTGGAAACCTAACGAATACTGAGGTAAAAGCGCTCAAATCCCTGCGCACCAACATGAATATAATTATCAAACCTTCCGACAAGGGGGGAAATATAGTTATAATGGATCGCTCTCAATATATATCGATGGTTAATTGTCTTCTAAGTGACACTAAGACATATCAAGTCTTACAAAACGATCCCACTAGTGAATATATTATCGAAGCGAAAAGTTTATTGTCACAAGCACTTGACAACAAATTCATCACAAAAGATGAATTTAAATTCATGTTCACAAGATATCCTATGACATCCACATTCTATAGCCTTCCAAAATGAGTCCATTTGTACTAAAACTTCCCTCGTATGTAAGGGATACAAAACAAATGTTACAACTTATGGAAAATACCATTGTACCTAGGGAGGCATTTTTATGTAGCCTTGATGTGGAGTCTCTTTATAGCTCTATCCCACATACTTTGGGGATTGAGAACTTAAGACTAACTCTACAGCTACAATCAAATTTCTCCCTGGAATACATAGATTTTGCCTGTAAAGTCCTTACTCTTGTGCTCACTAAAAACATCTTTCTCTTTAATGGTACAATTTACCATCAGATAATGGGTACAGCGATGGGCACATCTTGTGTCCCTTCATACGCGAACCTATACTTGGGTACATGGGAAAAGAACCTTCAAACTGACGAATGCTTGTCTCAATTTTTGACCAAAATATATTGCTGGAAACGTTACATCGACGATGTATTCATCGTGTGGCTGGGTACAATAAATTATTTCAACGAATTTGTACGACTGCTGAAGGTGAACGTCTTGAATTATGTTTCACCAGTGAAATTGGGGGTAACTTTCTAGACATCACTCTGTCATTACAAGAGGACGGTAGAATCTCCACAACATTGTACCGTAAAGCAACAGCTACAAATAGCCTTCTAAACTAGGATAGTTATCATCCCTATCCCTCCAAAGCGGGTATCCCGATTGGGCAATATCTGCGTTTACGTAGAAACTGCTCAACCCTCAAAGATTTTAAGATAAAGGCCGCTAATTTGCGGAAATCTTTCAAGGATAAAGGGTACCCAAACAGAGTTCTTAAAAAGGCATACTCAAGGGCATTAAACTCAGACAGAGTGAATCTTCTTGAGGACAAAATTTTACCCTCTAGCCATCAGATTCGTTGTATTGGGACACATGATGCAGGTTGGCACACAATGCTGCAGATTCTGCCGATCCTGACATCAGATGTCCATATCAAATCAGTCATCTCTCCTTTTCCTTCCGTTACGGCACGTAGAGGGAAGAACTTTAAGGAGCTCTTGGTACCTAGCCACTTTGGTCCATTTAATAAATCTTCTAAATCCTATTTACCTAAAGGCACTTATAGATGCGGTCACTGTAGTGCCTGTCAGTACACAGGTAAAGAAACAAAGATTTTTTTCGACAGTTTGAATATTGACTCTCATTCTGTACAGTCTTTCTTCAATTGCCGTACAGAGGGAGTCATCTACCTTTTGACATGTTCTTGTGGCATGAAGTATGTCGGAAAAACATTCCGACCTTTTAAGTTCCGCATTAGAGAACACGTCAACTCAGTCAGAAGTAAACTGGAAACTCCCATCTCAAGGCACCTCAAGACTTGTCATGCGAATTCATCCAGTAGGATACGCTTTATGGGCATAGAACTCATAACCCAAACACAA